TGTGTGTGTGTGTGTGTGTGTGTGTGTGTGTGTGTGTGTGTGTGTGTATGGGCATGTGTGTATATTTACGTGCATAAATATTTATATATACATATTTATAGATACATATTTTAAAATTATATATTCATAAACGAGCGGCTTTTGGTGTTTTGTGTACAGGTACATTTCTTAATGCGATTTTGTTATAAATTTGATACTTTTGATGGATAGTCGTTGCTTAGAACGAGAGTAAATAATTTTTTTTTCTTTCAATTGAAATCAACGGGAATTGAACATATAAAGTGGTCGCCAAACAATTATTGGTATCGATTTTTGTGTCACTGCCACCTGCCTGGTCGACCGAGACCTTGCCGCAGTCATCTAATAGAAACTTGGTTCGAGATGTTATATACAGTAATTGGTGTACGTCAATCGCGGTAGCATCATGACAAGCTCAACGACGTCGACCATGGAAGGGCACGATCTATATTTTCTGAACCAGAAGACTAAAACAACCCCCATTGAAAATGATTATAAGATATCCAACAATGTACTTGGACTGGGTATCAATGGCAAGGTGGTACAGTGTTTTTCCATTGTGACCGGTGAAAAATTTGCACTTAAGGTACATAGTATACAGCAGTCATATAAGTGACGTATAAACTCACTAGTATTATCATTTTGGTTCTTTTATTATTCTTGTTTTTTTTTTTTTATTCTTTCATAGGTTCTTGTAGATTGTCATAAAGCCAGAAGAGAAATTGATCTACACTGGAGAGCTAGCGGTTGTATAAATATAGTTAATATAATCGATGTGTACGAAAACGTGTACATGGAAAAAAAATGTTTGCTGGTAATCATGGAATGGTAGGTTTTGTTTAATAAATTAATATGTACTCTAAACAATTATTTTTAATGTAATCATTATTCATGATTAGGAAAATTACAAAATTATTACAAACATATTTTTAATTATAATTAGTGTTTAATAAAGGTGTCAAGAATTTTTTTAGATTAAACAATTTCAATTAATAGGTTTATCAATTAAAATTACTACTTTTTTTTTTTATTTACAGTTTTTATAAAGTACAATTTTTATAAGTTGGCTAAAGATTTTAATAATTATCATAAGCGACACAGACTTTTAAGTTAAGAGTGTGCCTGAGAATGATTAACAAAGAGAGGGAAGGGGAAAATCCATCCCAATTAACTTTTATTACCTTTCAATACTAAATAATATAAAACAATAATTATACATACTGCCTTTAAATTATTTTCCATAATTATATCTATTAATTAAATATTGTCCAATAAAGTGCATATAAACATTTTATTGATAATTTTCTTACTTCATTCTTCTTAGTAGATCTATTACAACAGAACAAAATGAACAGAGAAAAAATAATAACTATATAAATTTATTATTTATTATCAGTATATAGTTATCACAAATTTATGTTGATTATAATTACTACAAAATACAATTTTTGGGTAGTGCCCAGGCATATCCACACCCTGTGTACACCTTTATGATCATTATACCAACTATGCATCAATCCATACCACCTGATTTTTGATATATGTGATTTAATAAAAAAAAAAAATCATTTATTTGATGTAGTACAACAAACAAACAAGAGATTAATTATTTAAAAGTAATTTAAGTTCATTTTGATTAGCATCGTACAGGTCATGATTTTTATTTTATACACTAATTTTATTTGTATTATGATTAACAGAAATAATTCCTAATACAACCTCGATAAGACGAAATCGCTTGGGACCATGATATTTTCATGTTAACAGGGTTTCCGTCTTAACGGGGTTAGTTAATTGTATGTAACTTGAAACGGAACCAAAAAAATGTTCCGTTATACCAAGGTTTCCATCTTACCAAAGTTCCGTCTTATTGAGGCTTTACTGTATAATAAACCAATTCATGTATACATATTTTTTTTTTGATAAATTATTAGTAGCTATTAATTTATAGGTAAAAAAAAAAAAATCTTTAAACATTTCTATTTGGAAATTTGATATTTTAGTACATCCTCAGCAACTTCACACAACAATAGTTAACTGAATGTAATTTTTTTTTTCTTTCTGTATATTAAGAAACACATTTAATAAATAATATTATTCTTTAGTAGAAGTATAATTTATTTGTGTTTTAAATCTTATAAGTATTTAATACAAAATGTTTACAAAAAGTTATAAGATTTTAATTTTAATAATGAAAAATAATAACTGTGAAAATAATATTTATTTATGCTTTTATAAATATTTAATTATTTATACTTTAAGTATCTATATTAAATGAAAAATGATGAAACTAATTTTATTGATAATTATCATGGTTATTTATGATTTAAATAATTTTTTTTTTTTTAATCATCCTTCGTTTTTGAAAGACATGATCAGTTTTTTTTTTGTATGATTTTTACTTATTATCTACCAAATTATCATAACATTTTATACATTATACAATATTAAAACATCATCTATTTTTTTTTTTTTTTTTTTTTAATAAATTAACATTATAAATCGATCATCTTAAAAATTATCAATTTTAATTTTAGAAAATTAATCAAATTCATGATTTTCATTTAATGTAATATGTATATAATTTTATATTACATTTAAGTTAATTATTTGATAAATAGATGATTTCTTATATCATGCAAATATTACAGAAGATATATTATATAAGATATTTGTTACTATGTAATAAACTAATTGGTCATTTTAATGTACTTTTAATATCTATTTTAATTGTTTGTAAAAAAAAATAGCAAACAGCAACAATCTTTTTTATCTCCCCATATTCTCAATAAAAATTTTTATCTTTTATAACTCAGCATTTTAATGATAGTTATATTAGATTTTTTTTCAATTTAAAACTAAAATAATTGAATAAAGAAATACATGCTTATTTTTTTTTCAAAATAAAATATTAGTTTATCAATTTAAGATCTTAAATTGTTTATAAATATTTTGGTAATTATTTAGGAATATCATATATATAACATATTTTTAGAGCATAATTTAACTTAATATTATTTAAGTATTAATAAATATTAATAATCATTTAATTTTAATAAAAACTTAATATTAAGTCAATTAAGTAATTTTTTAGTATCAATTAAATTAATGGTTTAGTCCTTTAAAAATCAAATTTACTATTAATTGATGGAATACATTTTTATTATAACTAAAGAAATATGATTTGAATTCTCATTCAGCTTTAATGTATATGTTTAACATTTGGTTAATATCGAAATTATCTGGCTAAAGCCGACATTAGCCAACTGTTATCATTACCCTCCATGAATATTATTAAATGTTGGCTAATGTTAACATTAACCTGATAATATAATATTAGCCAAGAACTTTTGGATAATGTCTTAACAACCATAACAATTTAACGTGCATGAGATAAAATCATTGTAAATCATTAACAATATTAAATATATTTAACATACAATAAATTATATATACATAAGTACAAATTTTTGAATTTTCTTTTTATTTCTGCCATCATTCGATGTTTACCACCATGGCCAATATTAAGGTGTTTCTCATTTAGTATGTCATATAATTAATCATTTTTTACGTAATATAATAAATTAGTATTACCCTTTTTAACAGGTGCTATAAGTTTCTCTTCTCCAATATTAATAATTTCTAATTTATTCAAATGACAAAATTTATTGCCGCCTTTTAATTCATTAATTATCTTCAAATATTTTACATTTGACAAATAAGACTAATTATCTTCTCGTTTTTCAGACAATAATTTCTCAAATAAATTATCAAACTACAGTTTTGTTTCTATTTTATTAAAAATCCAATCTAAAACACTTAACAGTTTAATACTAATAACACTGTGCTTGCAATTATCACATGTGAAAACTGAAAGCAGACTAATAACAAATAAATGCACGACGTCGTATTTTGTATAGTGTATATAAAATTATAACAAAAAATGTCGTACAATTAAGATAAATATTAAATTATATCGATATATTATTCACTTTATCGGTAAGATAACTGACTAACTCGGTTACAAGTCAAGATAAGATATTATACTCTGGAAGTCCGACGCTTTATTATTGTAAAGAATGCTAATAAAAACTCTATAGTATATTTAATATACAACTTTTAACATTATCCAATATTGACTGGTTAATGTTAACATTATCCGGATAATGTTAATAATTCTTGCTTATAAACGAAAATATACATATTATCCATAACAGATGGCTAATGTCAACTTTAGCCAGATAATTTTGACATTATCCAAATGTTAACATTACCCGTAACATATATAATCAATGTAAATGAGTAAAATTATGGTCAAAAATTATGAAAGGTTAAAATGCTTCATAATGTTGCTAATATACTAAGAACTCACTTAAATGTTATATGATGCAACAGTAAAAATATGACTCCATTCGAACCTCTAATTACTACTGTTATTATTAATTTATAAAATAGGTACATAAACTAAATAACTATTCAAGTATAACATTTTTTCCTCTACATTACATGTTTAGAAAGTAAAGTAAAAACTGTTATTAAACTAACACTATTTTGTAAATTTGTAAAAACATGAATTTCATAAATTATTGTTAAAGGTATATATATTTATAACTATAGAATATATATTTAATATATTTCTTCACTTTTAACATTGTTTAAAAATTTGAAATTACATAATTATTAAAATCATTGACGAAATAAAGAATTACTAAAACCCTAAAATGTATGTAGTGTGTCTGAAAAAGGATTTAAATTATATGAGTATATAAATTATTAATTTCTTTAAAACAAAACAAAGATATTAAAAGTTAAAGCATTTTATAAAATGCATTTAAATGTCTAGAAAAAATCAAAATTATATTTCATTGTTAAATTATAACATTAACAGTACTTTAATGAAAAATAAAGTTTTTTATTTAAGAAAAGTCTAATTAATGTTTTTACTGTACTGATAAATAAAATAATTAAAACTTTTTGGTTTTATTTAATATTTTAATTTTTAAAAATTAAATCATTATATTGCTTGAAAATATATTTATTTTTATCATTTGACTATCTTAAATATTTTTATTTATGAATAATTATTACTAAAATTCAATATTTTTTCAGTATGGAAGGTGGTGAATTATTTCAACGTATACAAGAACATAATGAGGGAGCGTTTACGGAAAGAGGTATTAATAAGTAATTTTAATACAGTAAATATTCTACACTATTAATTTGTTTTATTTAATTTAGAAGCAGCACATATAATGACAGCTATTTGTTCAGCTGTCAAGTATCTCCATGATCTTAATATTGCTCATCGAGACTTGAAACCGGAAAATCTTTTGTATTCTAAACCTGGTAATATATAATTTTAAAATATACTTAAAAAGAGGTCATCAAAATATTTTCATATTATCATATTAATTTCAATTACTTTTTTATTTTATTACAGGGCCCAATGGTATTTTAAAATTAACTGATTTTGGGTTTGCCAAGGAAGTATCACAAAAAGCTCCATTGAAAACACCATGCTATACACCATATTATGTTGGTTAGTTAAAAACTATAAATCATAACTTCAATATATTTTAATACATGTTAAATATATTATCTTATAGTTCTTTATTAAATCTGTTCATCAATGTTTCAGTAAAATTTTTTGTGAAAATATTTGGTTAAAATTATTTGGTATTTAATAATTCAATATTTAATATAGTATCAAAAATGCACTAATCATATCTGTTGCCTTATATAAATAATTATAAAATTTTATTTTTAATAATTAATTAACTGTATATAATTATTGTTATAAAAAAGTATATTATTATAAACCAATAAATATCATTTTATTAACAAGTTACTTGATAATTTTTTATGATTATTTGATACAGCTCCAGAAGTTTTGGGTCCTGAAAAATATGATAAAAGTTGTGATATATGGTCATTAGGTGTTATTATGTATATTTTGTAAGTATGTTTGAATAAATTAACTATTAAAATATAACTACACTCGCAGTCTTTAATATTAATAAATTGTTATATACATATATTTAATTAAAGTTTATAATTTATATTTTTTCCAATATATTTCAGATTATGTGGATTTCCTCCCTTTTTTAGTAATCATGGCCAAGCTATTTCACCAGGTATGAAAAATCGAATTAAAACTGGACAATTTGATTTTCCTAATCCTGAGTGGAGTAATGTATCTAGTGATGCTAAAACATTAATATCCAGTATGTTATCTGTTGATCCATCTACTCGTCTATCTATTAAAGAAGTAGTTAAACACAAATGGATTGCAGTAAGTGGTCTACTTGATTAATTGAAAATGTTAGAAATATTAAAATTATTTAAATAATCTGTTATAATATTTCAGAGTTATACTGAAGTTCCGCAAACACCATTATATACTGGTAAAATGTTAAAAGAATCTGAAGATGTATGGCCTGAAGTACAAGAGGAAATGACAAGATCATTAGCTACCATGCGAGTAGACTATGATCAAATTAATATAAAAGCTTTAAATACTTCTAACAATCCATTATTAAATAAACGAAGAAAAAAAGGTTCGAATAGTACATCCAGTTTTTAACATTCTTTTATCCGTTGCAATTTAAAAAGTTAGGTAAATTATTTTGGTCTAGAACTTCTGGCGCTGCCAAATTGGCAGTGGATCGGTTTGGTACTGACCTTTTTGACGCTGCTGTATTGGCGTTGTATTGGTTGGTGCTGACTTTTTTGGTGCCACAATTTTAAAAATTTGTGCATTTGTTAAATATATATAGGACATACCAATGTACTAAACAGTGTAACAAGTTGAATTGTAAAAAGGCATTAAAAGTAAAATATCCTAATAACAATAATTGTGTTGAAGTTTATTATTTTACATTGTTAGTGTTATTATATACCTATTTAATTTATGGTAATAACTGATAAATATTATTCGATTTATTCATACATATCCACATTGTATTTGCTGCATCAAACCAATTGTATATCAATTGATACAGAAAAATGAAACAAAAATAAAATCTTATGAGAACTTTAGACCAACATTTTATTAGAATAATACAAAGTATAATTTATTTTTTATAAATATGAGCGTATACCTTTTTTTCTTTTTATGATTTTTTATCTATTAAAACGCCAAAAAGGTTAGCACCAAACCGATCCAGCGCCCAAACAGTGATATCATAACGTTCATGTCGAAAATTATTTAGACTCAAACATAATCACATTTCATTGACCTTTATTTACCGATGAAACTGTAATTCAGTAATAATGGTTGATATTTTTATTTTTTTTTTAAATGTTTATTACGGTGTACTTTTATCAATATTTATTTTTAAGTCACTTATATATTTGATGATTTTATTATTATTAGTGTATTGTAGTTTCTAAATAAGTGAAATATTAAAATATTGTATTCTGTAATGAATCTTGAACTAAACCATAGTCATCTAAAATCCTTAAATAATATATAAAATCTTGTTTACATTTTTATTTAATTAAAGAAAAAAATTGTTATTTATGTAAAGAACAAATAAAAATCTTAATTTTATTAATATCAGAAAAAAAGTTGTTTGTACCCATATTATTTTACAATATTTTTAGATAATATTGAATAAATTTTAATTTTTTAAATATTAAAGTTTCTAATAATAAATAAATATTTAACTTTAATAACCAAACCTAACATGAAATACATATTTAATACTTATATTATTTGGTATTGATATTTAAAAACTCAAATTCCTATTCAGTAATTTTATTCATTTATTAAACAAAATTATTATATTTTAATTTGAATTGAATTTATAATGTATACTTTGTTGTTATTATATTTCACTACTTTTATGTGTTATAACTGCATGTTTTAATTTTATAACTACCAATATTCTTACATATTTAAGTTAAGAGAGATTCCATAATATTATTTGTATGCATAGTTAAAATTTAAAATTTAATTTAATGTTCTGAACTAAAGTCCAGTGCTGGCCCGGCAATTTTCAGGGCCTAATGCTGAATTTTGATGGTGCCCTATATATATATATATATATATATATATATATATTAATTTATTAATTTATTAATTGTTTATAGAAATCTAAATATTTTTATGTTATTATATAATTAAATATATGCTATAACTAAATTTCGAACCGTCGTTGACGATAAACAATTTTACAAATGCAGGCAAATACAATACTTTAAAGCTATGCATAATTAGTACAGTCTTAATTATTGTCGATAACAATCCGTTTCCTGTAAAAACCACAGGTTAGGCAATCCGCAAATTGCGATTTGCGTACTGGGACTATATTATTTTTGTTTATAGATAAAGTGATATTCATAATTCATCATTTGTGGAGCCTCATTCAAGTGCGGAGCTCTATGCGATTGCACCACATGCCTCCCCCCCTCTAGGGCCGGTACTGCTAAGGTCAATTAGTTTTCTTTGGACGGATTAAAAATAAAAATAATACCTTTTTATTTAAAGTATAAAACTCATAATTTATAGTTACTATACATTTTTTGTAATTGAACATATAAAATAAATAACAAAAAACATCAGATTCTTTACATTTATAATATTTGATAAAAGTACATAAATGTGATGGTTGTGATTACATTTAATTTAGTGAATATGGAATTATTTTATATATAACCTTTAAAGTCTTGAATCAGTCATTTTATAATTAAATGTAGTACACTAGTAAAATATTTACATTCAAATTGTATACAAATACTCTACTTAGAAAATGCATAGAATAACATGTTATATTATACAATTAAAGATTATAAATTTTATAAGGTTTTTTTTAATTGCTAACGAGTTAAAGTAAGTAAACAAATTATTTTCATTATCACTCAATTTTTATGGAAATTATATAATTTGTTTAAAAAAAATCGTCATGGTTCAAAAATTGTATTTATAAAGTTCTTAATTAAATTTTAAATTGTATGTTTTATTAGATTGATTTGGTTTATGAATGAAATATATCATAAAATAATACTATTGTATACTTTAACACTTATACTATCCACGTAAAATAAATACATAATTAACATTTAATTAGTCAATAATTCACAGATCAATGTATGTGTCCGACTTTTGGATTTATATGAAATAATTAAATTATTTTTGTTTATAGTTTATTTTTCAATATTTTTAAAAAGGTGCGTCTAAACGAAATATTTTAAGAATAAAATGTTTTAATCACTTCATATGCATATTTATCTGTATCTGACTAAACCTTGAATGTAAAACTATTTTCATATGTACTTAACTTGAATTTTTTAATTATATACTATTTATAACATGTATATATGTAGTACTAACTTTAAGAACATAATACACTAACTTATGTGATACTTACCATAGTACTTATAACCTTAAAAAGCAATTTTGTCTGGAATAAAATATTTATTTATTAGTTTTATAAATATAACTCATTGAATTGTGAATGTAAACAAAACACCATATAGCTAACTATTTAGAATAGGTAGGAACTATAATAACATTTATAAATATGTTATAACTTATTAGTATTGTGTTTTATAAGTATTAACTAGTATGATCTAGTATCAATTGTTGTTTACTATATACTATTTATTAATATAGACATATATTTATATTTTATTTATTTGTATAACTACAAAATGTATTTAAGACCATTAAGTCAAATACTGAATGAGTTTTATGCTTATATACAAATAAACCAATAAACACCCTAATAATTTGAAATGTTTAAATTATAATTATTTTAACTAAATACAGTTTTACTGCAACATATTAGTAAATAATAAAAACAATTAAATTATTCAAATTGAGAGTTTTTATGAACTTGAAACTTATCATAAGTAATATTAAGACTGTACCCCGAACTTCGTCCAACGTTGAATAACCTCCCGCACCCGACTCGGCTTGACAAAGATAGAACGGTAGCATAGAATGCGCTCTTTCTTTGAACAAATATAATTCTTAAAAATTTTCAATCCTATCCTACAAATAATACGAAAGCACGTATTTTAAATGAAGAATGTTTTCTTCAAATTCTACATAATAAATCTATACTACAGTAATATATATATTACAGTAATGTTGTAAACCTATATTAATTCTTACCTGCTTAAAAAAAATCGGACACGTAATTCGTATCTGAGTAAAAAACAACGCGGACACAATTCGACCCTTTTTTCACACGCAATTGCAATTCGAATGCACCGAAAAAATATTACACTAACATTCGAGTACATAATAATAAAATAACGGAATTCAGTTGCAGAGAGAGAAATAAGAAGACATTAAATTATTTTTACTAATGAACACAAAAAATGTACACTTCTTTAAACAATAATTAGTTAAAATACGTCGATAATTATTAAACTAAATGTTTCATTAATGACGCATATAATTTTATACATATACTTGTATAATTAATTTTCCTCCCATCTTACTACGATCGATTCGTATTTTAAAAACGGTGTTCGTTGTACATCAGATTTGTTGATAAAAGGAGCAATGACATTTGCTTACACATTGTGTACATTCAAATTTAAATATAATTCAAGATTACGAACTAGTACTTTAGTCCGTTTCTACACGGTGATAATATTACATCGTTACATCATGTCTTATTGTAGTAATATAACTATTTAAA